CAAACGAATGCGATAGAACTTGACCGCTACACACGAAAAAACCAAATACAATTTCCTCTCAAGAAAACAAAACAAAACTTGGTTATGTTTTTTGTTAGGAATTAATGAGAAACTCTTACACATGATCAAGCTTTTCCCAAGATTTTGAAGTATTGCCATTAACAATCTCAAAGAGATTTGAATTCCAATTATCATCTGCAAGATTTACATCATATACTGACCTGAAATCAAATGTACAACAAGAAACATTAAGTTTCTTTTCTTGAATCCAATTTTAAGCACTCCTAATTCAGCAAAGTCAAATTCGGTTCCAATACAAAATCGAAGATCATGCAAACAGATTGATTTTCTGAGCTAAGGAGCAAAATGCAATGAGATCTACGAAATGGAACGAGGATTGAAGTGAGAGTTTACGAGGATCCTTGATTGTAGATGTCGATGGTGACGGAGACGCGTTGTGTTCCTGATTTGATAGTAGAGAGAGAAGCCTTCTTGTGGACCACCATGAAAGGGACCTCCGAGGTAGCGATTGTAACAGAGATCAATGTTAGGAAGATCAGAGCCGATGCAGAAGAGAGCTTCCTCATTCCGATCTCCATTTTCTTCGATGGTCACTCACTTAGTCAGGGGACAAACATATATGTATATTCGTCTTCTTATTTACTGTTTTATTAAAATTCATTAAAATATTTCAAAATAATTCGAGCATTTTATAATCATTAAAGTATATATTCATTTCTAGAGAAATAATAAACCATCTCACTAAAATAAATTTTAATTAAAATGCTAGAAATGCAAGAAAAAAAATGGTCCGAATTAAATATGTGTTCATATGTTTTTTTTTCTAAGTCAGATATATTTGAGTAATTTACTTTTCTTAAATCTTGCAAAATCTATACTTAATCAGTTTCCTAATTGATTCCATAAATTTATTAAAACTACAGCGTTTAAAGTGAAACAAAGAGAAGCAATATTTGATTTCTAGAATATGTTCGAGTCTTCGAGACGACTAATTAGTGCAACGATCATTTATTGCATCATGTTGAGCGTTTTATATATTGCCAGCAATTAATTAATATGTAGTTTAATGTTTGTCATCGACAAAACAATTCAGTAGTAACGTACTGTGTTTACGTTAAAAACGATTTCATTATAAATTTCATTATGTTTCATTTTTGTTAAAGGATGGAACGTGCGATGTGGTCATTTCATGCAGATCACGTTCCTTTTATTTTGATTAAAATTTGGGTATATTACAAAACCCATTTATATTTTATTTGTAACTTTTTTGTCGTTTATTTGCGGAGTTGGTACCAATGTTAACGAATATCCGAAATAATTAAAACAAGATAACTCAATTTATTTAAAATATGTCTACAATATTGAATATCATCGTCATATAGAAAAAACAAATAAAGATCTAAACCAAAATATTAGTTATAAAACATAATTTGTTTAAAAAAAAAATCAATTAAATCGTTTACTATACCAATTTCAATTCCATATTGACCTTATAAACAAATTTATAATGTCTTGCAAAAGCTTATTTCCATTGACCTTTTGGATAAATAGAT